GTGATGAAAGAAGTTAGTGACACCTGGGATGTAATTGCACTGTCAATCGAGACGAAAATACTGTACCAATAGGCAGTACATGAATAGCAGGTGCGCCTGACATAACATTACGTTTTAGACAATAAAGCCCAAAACTTTCGGACAGGGGCGCTGCCAGAAGGTATTTGTAAATATAAATTATCCGTCACTGAGTTCAGAGGTGCGCTCAATCGATTCGTTAGAGTTTCATATCCGAAGTTGATGAACGTGAGGGCGAGCAGAACCGTTTTTCTTTCGCCCGTCTTCAGAGTACATAAAATCTGTAGCTAATGAAGCATATGATCAATACGTTAAAACGGGCTGGCCATCAGTTGCTCGTTGTCTGTTTAGTTAAGGTTAAGCGTTTGTCAGCCCTGAATGTTGTCACACACCTATAGGTACAGATACTTTCTTCTTCAGATACACACACTGTGATAATTCCACCAGCCAACTGTCCACGTGTGTAACCAATGCTCCCTGTGCCATTCATCTCACGTCATGTCCACAGGTATATACCTAACTGATTTGACATTCATCGAGGAAGGCAATCCTGACAAGCTGCCTGGTGGACAGATTAACTTCAACAAGCGACGTATCTTTGCCGGGTGTGTGGTTTTAGGGTTCTAGGGTTTTAGGATTTCATCAATCGGTGGTACTTGGTGGTACTTTGCTTGGCAGTTACATGGTGCATGTGGCATTGTGCTCTGTAGGGATAGTCTACATGACTTTGCGGAGAGATGTTTTATGTACAGTTAAGTATCACTGACGCAAATACTAACCGCGTGTTCTGACTGTGTTGCTCTGCAGAGAGATGTGTTAAGTACAGATAAGTATCAATGAGTTTTTAGATTCCCAGCCGTGGCTGGCTGTAACTTGCTGAGGCCAAGGTCTCTATGTATCCACCCAGAATGCACATACAGACACTCACCTGCAAGGCCGTGACCGATCTGTGTACGTTGTCATATAATTCTACTGTTTCGCTTAGCCATTCTTTGCCCACAACATTAGAACCCACTGCTGAGCTGCGATCCCTCACACAAACACTATCACTAACACTAGCACTACCTCACTCTTCTCTTAACTGTCCCGCACAGGACCATCACACAGATTCTCGATTACCAGAAGAATGAGTACAATTTCACTGTCGTGAATGGTCTGCGATGGCATCTCACGCACCTGTTCTTGTCCTGGAATGAGGACGGGTTGTATAAACAGTCTCTATTAGTCGAGCCGCGCCAAAACTAGGCAGACATAGAATACCAGCTGAACAAGGGCATGATGCATAAGCAGTCGTACAGTAGGGATACAAAGAACGTGTGCCAATTCGGTACATGACCCCAATATATCGAGTATATGATGAGCATTTATTTAAAAATGATAAATGGAGGTCTCAACAGCCAATCGGAATTGTCGAAGTGGGGATTGTCACACCTGCCAGTTCGGCACGTCTGCCAATTTTAATCTGAGCTATGGAGAGGACGTATACACAGTATCCGTAAAAGTAAATCCATAGTTTGTAATTGTGATACCATTAAATCGGAATACTATTTAACATTCAAAAGAAGTGGGGTGCGTACCTTTCCTAGTCTGCCTGTGCGGCGCAGAATACACTACGACGTACACTTTATTTGCCAATTATTTGGCAGATAGATGCTGCATTGCAAACGTTAAGTATGGAAACATGTTTCTCCGAGCGTCCATGAGGCGTCCTTGGTCGAATGATCTGCTCTAGGACAATTTTAGTACCAGAAGTGTACTGATTTTAAACCCCAAACCCTTTTTATGTCGTAGCTAAAATGGCTATTTATATATAATCCGATAAGTAAAAGCTAGAAGCGCAATGCAGAATAAGAGGTATATAGGCTTTTAGCTTTTTATCGAGAGGAAATCCTACAATACATTTATGAAAGCCAAAGTATATTCCCCTTTGATACCGACAATATAGCACCCTTGTATGAGGATGTATGAATGGTTTGTGTAGATACTGTGTATACATGTGAAATGTGTGTATTAACTATGTATGATTACAACTCTCGGAAGTATATGGCATGTACACATACGATCAAATACGATGCTATATTGTCAGATATAAATTTGTCTTTAATCTCATATAAGTTTGCCATTAAAGCAGAGCTTCAATTCTGACAAACCAAGAGACTGATTGATTACTATCATGTTTCATTCTTGAACAGGACTATTAAGGACCATTTAAAAACCGAGATAGCTTTCGGCACATATTCTTGACCGGATTTTCATACATACACTACAGGCAACAGGCACAAGAAGTCGTGACTCACATGTTCGACACAATTTCAATGGAAAAATACAGCTATAGTTGAGTGTATATAGCAAGCAAAGGCGGATTGTATATTTCTTATTGCACTCAACAACTTATCCCAAACACTCCTGTATGTGAGTAACAAAACACATAATCTTATATACAGCTTTATATATACTCCGAATAGTGTATATTTTTGTTTTGACGAATAATAACCGAATATAATGACTCGCATGGCACTTTGCTTGTGTCAAGTCGTGGCGTATACCTCAACTACGGAACTCTCATGACCACCAGCTCAGGACTGACTGTAAAATAATAGCCTGGTCGAGGTAAGGATGAAGAATCACCTTTATTTGTCTATTCACTACTAAGCACGACGCTCTGCCATTGTGGCCTTCAGTATCTAAAGTCTGATCTCAAGTTTTCTGACTGTGAGACTTGGCTTCGGTTTCGTACAAAGAGAGATGCAACTTGCAAGAAGTTGCCCTTCTCTCTGTGAAGAGTGTAGGGGACGTGTGGTATTTTAAAGAGAGAGGGTGACTATTTTTTTTAGTATTTTACAAAGCGACCTACATACTATATATTTAAAAAAGACACATGGCCCTGTTTCAAATTTTTGGATTCTCACAGCATAGCCTTCTAAAATCAGACATTGCAGAGAGAGACCTGATTTCCGTTTGAGACCTATTAATTATTATCCAGAGACCAGAGCCTGGGTCGTTACATACGTATGTAAATATTACAGATACATACTATAGATATTTTATAAATATTCAGCAAACCAAATAATATTTTTTTTAAATTATAAATGTATGTGGTATGATAGCACTGGTAGAGTTCAGAGATCAACCGCCATACTCTGCTCATTCTCAACCAGAGAAGTTACTGATGATATACAATAAATACATAACTTATTACATAAACTAATAAGAAGTAAATGTAGATGTATTTTTAATACTCGACCACTAAATATCAAGATACCTTTTTTTTATCAGTCTATTCAAAATATCTTCATAAGTTTCAGGCTTCAGGAAAAGTGAAAATACATAGTTTTCGTTGCGCTAGCTAAATGTTTTCGTCCGTTGGTATTTAGCTTGCATGAGGTGTCATACAGCCATAGGCCCATACATTGTGATGTGTACATCCGTCGAAAAAAAAAGCCAGGTATGTATGATATACGTTTTTATGTACATTATTTGAATATGTACTATTTTTTTGAAAGTGTTTACCGTACAGTCGTACACTCATAAACTGTGAGGGCCGTGATCAGGCATCTCAGATGCAGAGGTAAAGCACACACGCATATTTTATTGTTCTGTTTTATTGGAATACATTTATTTTTTTAATTATAATATAGGTTATTTAGTTTTTTTTTGCAAACACGCGTAACCTAGTTTTAGAGGTGCAATCAACCAATGACATGGTTGTTAGGGTGAATTTAGCTCCGAACCAATCGGTATCAGAATTGTAATTTACGATAATTATTTTATCATATCTCTGATGTCGCAAATAGTCTTTAAAATATCTGGTCGCTGGGTCACAAATAAAATAGGCAGTAATATCGAGAGATGACCGATAAAATACAAACTTTCGGCTCCTGTCTCACATAATGTCGTAAACGAATCACAGTACTGTATGAAATATTACATCTACTTTTTTTTTTGCAAAAGAATGGGAAAGTTGAACTTTTTGTGAACTCTTAAAGAGGGCTTTGCGTATTTGGGTTATTATGAAGCACCTGCACAGAATAAACACTTACACGCCTAGCATATGCCTTGCTATAGGTGACTACTATAGGTGATTGTGCCTGTCAATTGTGAATAGTATATGCGTTAACTGCACCTCCTTGGACGTTCAACCAGAAATTTGATATTATAGATTGAACATGCGGAGTGTTACTGCCATAGGTATGTTTTACGAACATCGGCTGTTAAATGCGACATGGCAACGTGTACAGTATGTACATCCGTTTTTATTTTTGTATCACAGTATGACAATTGAGGTGATTCAGTATGTGTTCTGGTACTCGACTGTATTATACTTGCACTAAAAAAGCTTTCAACCCTACCAATACCCACACACCTACCTTTGATCCAAACCAAACACAGGGGTTGCCTGCCTGGGATGTGTATTGGCAGAGAGTTACGATGCCACGGTGCGGGCATGGGGTCACTTCTCAAGTGAACTAGTTACAGGTATGCGGTTAAAATCAAAGAGTTTATATTTATTTGCATAGATCGGGAGAAGTATAGCTATGAAATAC